AAAGGAAGGTTTAGGGTAAAGGGTTTTGGGTTTAGGGTAAAGTGCGATGTGCTACGAGGGACATTGGCCGGGCGAGCTCCAATCAAGCCTGTGTAAAAAGGGTAAAGGGTTTAGGGTTTAGCTTTTAGCGTTTTATAGATGGCGCTAGGATGTTTCGGGGCTTAAGGCTTTAGGGTTCGGGTACCGTGCAGATCAGGGAATGCGGCTTCGGTTGTAGGGGTTTCAGATGCCGATCCTTGAATTTCATGTTTACGGTTTTGGTTCATGGCTTGGTGATTTGTCGGGTCTGGTATTTGGGATGTTTGGAAGGTTGAAGAAAGGTGGTCCTACTGTGGTTTCCTTCTACTTTTCTCCACAAATGTAGCCTGGACCTCCCCCCGGCAAGTCCGAGCTGCGAGTGGGTAAAAACCACCTCTAACCCTCCAGCCTCCCAGACCTTGGCAGGGTTGGGAGGCTTGGGTGAACTGTTGCGGAATTTCCAACCCTTTAAAGCCACACGTCGCATCCTCCGCTGATGTATTGCAAAAAGGCTTGTTAACCTACGCAAAAATCCTGATATGTGAGAACCGGTGCCGTGATCATCTGGGCTGGGTTTGCAAAAACCCAAAGCCCTCAACCCTGACACCCTTTTATCAAGTGGTCTAAAGAAATAGTATTCATGTCCCCTCCTAGCCGTAACGTCTGGCTATCTTTGTTCGTGCTGTGAGTACGGTACTCTTGTTTACTGAAAGCCCTATTCTAACTAAGGCCCCTATATGTTGCCTCAAGAGTTCCGACGAACCCATATAGAAAAACTAGACACCCTATTCTCACTGACGTCCAGATATCAATTGTCAACAACCCCCAATGACAAAACTCGATGCCGAAGGCTCAATAATAATCGCATCTCTGATTTGGAAAAAACGCACTTGCGAGCTTCGGACTGCCTGTCTGTCAGCCCTCCCGGCGTCGCAGAGAGAGTCAGCGAGCCTAGGAGTACTGGGCGCCCTCAATAGACAACCGGGAAGGGAAGGGGCTTGAAATCAACCGAAGGAAGGGGGTGTTGCTTCTACGAACTTAACATGAATGAGCCCCCAACAAAGTCCTCATAGACACCCTAGTTCAGTTCATAGTGCCCCTATACAGAACCGTCATCTACGCCCTTTGTTTATTCATAAGGCGCGCACACGACATCAAACGAGTCGAAAGATGCCCGAAAGAATCCTTGAAAAAACCTGGTTCTCTCCCGGCCTTTAGAGGGGAATCCTGTCTTCCCTAAAAGCCGGATCGATGGATGGCATTTAAAGCCTGTAGAACCCTGCAGAACCTTTCAACCGCCCTCAACCCTAAACGCCGAAAACCTGAAGCCCCTAAACCCGAAACTCAAACGCGAAACCCCAAACCCTAAACCCCTAAACCCTAAATCTAAACCCTTTAAAGCCCTAAACCCGGAACCTAAACCCCTAAACCCCCTTATAAACCCTAAACCCCTAAACCCTAAACCCCTAAACCCTTTTTTAAAGCCCTAACCCTCCACCCGCCGAATCGAAGGATGGCTCGCTCTTGAGACCCTTTGGTCCCGTTGTGGCCTATGCCAAGGTTCTCATGGACACGTCCGAGACGCCTTCCATGAATGAGGGTTTAGGAATGAGGGTTTAGGGATGAGGGTTTAGGAATGAGGGTTTAGGGATGAGGGTTTAGGGTTTAGGGTTTAGGAATGAGGGTTTAGGGATGAGGGTTGAGGGTTGAGGGTTTAGGGATGAGGGTTTAGGGTTCAGGGGGGAGTTCTGCATTTCAAGTATTTTTTGGAGAGGTGTCCGACGCATGCCCTCCTTGCTGTAGGTTAGGGGAGTGTGTGTTTGGCTAGACCCGGGCTGCTGGACAAGGAGGCCTGTTGCAAAAGGGTTTATAGGGCCTTTGAAGGCTCCTGTACTGGTTCTATAGGGTTTAGGGGTAGAGTGGTTTCTTCTTTTCTTCGAAAAATTTGCAGGGGATGTGCCGGGGTTTTAGTTTAGCAGCGTTCAGAAGATCGCGACTTTGAAGGGTTGTTGGGTGCTGCTGGACCTTAGAATTTCAGCCGGCGAGCATGTTCCGACTTGAGTTTCTTACCGGGGCCCCTTCGGTTTCACGGTTCGTGCCGGTTTAGGGGTTTAGTTGAGGGTGTCCTCTCCAGATGTGACGGGCACCGAAACGGAGTTTTCCTATCCGCCAGGTTCGTGTAGGCACTGGACGTTTTGCGTCCTGAAGCCTGCATAATATAAGTTCATATCATATAATACAATATGGCATAAGATATTATAACATAATATAATATAATATGCAGCGAGGAGAACAAAGGAGTTCGTGCAAGTGGCCGCGGATGTCATGGACGTGAAGGATGCCTTTACAGATGCCGAGTTCTTGGATTCGCTGAGCCTGATCCAGAACAACTACAACTTGACCAATGTGCAGAAAGCAGAGCCACTCTTTGGCATGTTGATTATATGGTCTGTTATGTGTTTCTTCTCTTGCAAGCATGAGGACCGGTTCCTTTTTGTTTTGTGGTGTGGCTGTTGTTGCTATTGCTGTCGTTGTTTCATGGTTTTCCCTGCTACCTTTGATTCGGCAGAGTTGTTTACCATTCTGTTGGTTGTGCTACTTCTGCTGCTTGCCCACGTCAGCCTCTGCTCTTCGTGCACGCAGAGCTGTCAGGAAAATCATCCAGCTTCTCAAGCCTGCACCTGGGCCGAAGGTAGCGTACCCTGTCCTCACCCGCACAGACACTCCAAGTCCCCCCCCAGTAGGGAACACACACACACACA